AACAAATGTGCTTCAGCCAGAAAAAAGGGTATGAAAAGTGCTCCGAGTCGCTGCAGAAAACAAAAAAAATTGAACAACAAAAACTGGAAATGTTGCTGGAGACGGGCTTATTTAAAATGAAAACTCATTCTCTGCCAGCAGGAGGCGCTTTTAGAGTGATAAAACTAGCGGTTTCCCCAGTAATGGCTGTAATCAAAGCAGCTCCGCTCATGAATGCTACTTTATCAGATCAAATGAAAATGCCCTCGAAACTTTTCTGAAGACAGTCAATTCCCTTCAGAGATACATTCATATAAAACACCCGCGCCGTGTTATGATTTTGAAACGTGCAGTGCTCATGTTTATTCAACGAAGTCAAACGGCACAGATAAATCAATGTATGGGAAACTGGTAATGTATATCGAAATATCGGAAATGTGTTTAAAAATCATATCACCGTTATTGAAAAAAATTATATCGCGATACATATTGATATTGAATTATTGTCCAGCCCTACATGAACCACATATTTGTGGCTATTAATATGTTTAAATGAAACAGAAAACAGGCATTGCTGTTTGATATTATATTTAGTTTCATTGTAATGTATATACGTTCCCCGAACTACCTTTTTGTGGCTATTATGTTTAAATGAAAACGAAAAGAGGCAGTGGTGTTTAATATCATATTTCGTCTTATTGTAAATATACATATAGTGAGGATAACCGGAGTAGAAAACGTGAGCTGACTGACGTTGTCAAGTACACTGTTGTTCCATTTGCAGAATTACTGGACTTGCGTCCTCCTGTCCCCGGGAGTTCACACTCCAGAGTCGAACTTGCAAAGTTCGAACTACCAAGCATGCAAGTCCGAACTTTGTGTACTTGGTATTGAAAAAAAGGCTAAAGTCCCTTTAAGACAAGTTAGGGCTGTGCAAAAAATCGAATGCGATTTTCATGCGCATCTCGTCAGTAAAGCCGCTCCTGTGATTAGTAGTAAATCTCCAGCACGTGCTTTCAGATGGAGCGGCATTTACTACACAGAGCCGTAGTTCACTGACAAGCTACGCAAAATCGCGTTCAAAATCACAGGCGATTCATTGCCGATGTATATCGGCATGTTCATTATTACATCCAACAACAGAACACCTCAATCGCTTAGGAGTCATTCTTGTCTACAACTGCTCCGGCGGTGAAACAATGGCGGACTGATGACAGCTCACTCAGGGCGGGTCTGAGGTAAGACACCAGTCCAGTCTGTGCTGAAACGCTACTGTCAATCAAACTATCGTGGGAGGGGCCTGTCTGTGTGACGTCACACAGACAGGCATCTGAGATCGGCTCGATTTGAGAAAGGGGTAAAGATTTTAGTAGATTAACAAAAAAACACTGGGTGGATTTTTATCATTTTAGGGTGGTTGTGTACACACACTGCCAACACACATTTCAGTTCAAACAACTTGTAAAAGTGCAAGTAGCATTATATGACCCCTTTAAATAAATATATGCGATGCAGTTCTAATACAGTATATGCGCTTTAATTATTTACATGCGTGTAGGTCAAGTACATGTGTCACACAGCGGAACAGGAACTGTTATCATTTACATGTGTGGAGCGTCAAAAAACTCCATCTCTGCATGTTGTTGTGAGTTTAGGTTTATTATAACGTTCATCTGGGAACGCAACATGCGCCATTTCATCAGATTTGTAAGGTAAATCATTTATAAATCTACGCAAACACAGAAGAATACATTGCGGTTTCAAAATAAAAGCGCAAACCCTCACTCTGAGTTTACACGTTTTGATATCCACATATTCATTTAATTACAGTGGCTGTAGAATTTATGTCCTAAAGAAATGGCCAAATATTAAAGATTAAATGGACATTTGAATTAAATGGTGCTTGGTCAATATTAAACAAGGATTAGATCGCACAGTAATGTGTAAAAACAATTGTCAGGCCGTTGGCGCCCCCTGCAGGCCTTTATTGTAATGCGCAATGTACATTAGCTCTTTTGTTTAATACATTATGTATTTTAACAGTTTTGTTCAATAAATCCATATGATTTATTGCTTTTGATACTTAATTTAAACTAATTATTATTGCCTCATTGCTATTATATATGCATTTTAAAGGCTATTGTTCACTTACATCTATTTTTATTACCACAAAAAAAAAAATATATATAATTATAGGGCACTATGAAATCCATTTTATTTCCAAATTCAGTTTTTTCCATATTTATTTTTCTATACTCTGTTTTAATGGTTAAATTAAATTGTATTAATCAAAAAGCCTGTCGAATTAATTGAGTTTTACAGTTTTATCTGTACCAAATTCTGTTTTCCATTATTTTCTGGATTCCATTTTAATGGTTCCATTAAATTTTAATAATCAAAAGCATCTCCAATTAATTGATTTTTTAAAAAAAAAAAAAAAAAAATA